TGCTGGAGCGGTGTGCACTGTGTGCCGTGTGCTGGAGCTGTGCACGCAGTGTGCTGGTGCGGTGCACACTGTGCACTGAGGGAATGTAGACAGAAACATCAGAAGTTGAAGGTCACCCTTTGCTATCTAAGAAGTTCCAGGCCAGCCCAGACTATTTCAGACCCTTATTCAAAAATATAACTAAATGAAAAAAACATGAAAAAGTCTGAATTCTCTCTTTCTAGAATAAGTTAAAATTATGTATGTCCTTTCAAGCTTTGTAATATATTTGCAAACACACAGTATTTTTCTATAGGTATTGTTTTTTATGTGTGCAGGGGTTTTTGTTTGTGTTTGTTTATTGGTTATGAGGAACGTTTCCTCTATCACAGACTGGCTTAGAACTCAATACATGGACTGATACGATTTTTGAACTCCTAGTGCTCCTGCCTCCACCTCTGAGTGCTAGAATTATAGGCCTGTGCCACCACACTGATTTCTTTTGTTTTTTATGTACTATATCATAGCCATATTTCTGTGCAAGCAGAATCTGCTATTGTAGGTTAAGTATAGTTTACCTAAATACTTGGGATCAGTCTTGCTTGAGACTTTGGAGTTGTGTTGCATTTTAATTATAATTAATCTTGTCTTAGGATATAGTATATACTCATGACCACTTTTATCTGTAAATTCCATAGAGTTTTTTTGTTTGTTTGTTTTATGTTTGTTTGGTTGTTTTGGAGAGAGGGTCTCTGTACCAGGCTTTTTCTTTTGGGCCAGCAACCAGTTCCCAAATCATGACACGGAGACTTAATACTAGTTTTGAGTGCTTAGCCTTAATTTATGCTTGTTTTTTACTAGCTCTTAACACTTAACCTGTTTCTCTTCATCTACATTTTGCCTCTGGACTTTTCATCCTTTTTTCCTTGTGTATATCTTACTTTCACTGCTTCTTGTGTCTGTCTGTCTGGCAGCTGCCTGACTTCTTGGCCCCAGGCAGGTTCGTCTCCTTCTCCTTTATTCTCTTCTCCTTCTCCAGTTCTCTCCAGCCTAGATTTCTCCTCCTGCTCATTCTCTCTGCCTGCCAGCCCCACCTATCCCTCTCCTGCCTGGCTGTTCAGCTTATTATTAGACCAGTCCGGTGCCTTAGGCAGGCAAGGTGAAACAAATGCAACACATCTTTACATAATTAAACAAGTGAAGTATAAACAAATGTAAAACACCTTTATGTAGTTAAATATTCCACAGCAGGTCTTCCTGTACAGTCCAGGCTATCCTGGAGCTCACTTTGTACATAAGACTGGCCTCGAACTCAGAGATCCACCTGCTTCTGCCTCCCCAGTGCAAGGACTAAAGGCATGTACCACCACACCCAGCTCCATGCCATCTCTTTTAGCTCCTAAGGTGACATCTAGTTTCTTAGGTATAATTTGGCCTTGGATTCGCCACCCCAGGTTTCTGTATCAATAAAAGACAAGTCTCCTTCTTTTTAGTAACATTTACTTCAGAAGGAAAATTTTTGATATTTTTTTATCAAAAAAATTTTGGAGGTACTTAGAGTCCAATGCAAAGTGAAATCTTTTTATTTCTGTGTGTGTGTGTGTGTGTGTGTGTGTGTGTGTGCCACATGTGGGCAGGTGTCTGCAGAGATTAAACACTTCAGACCCCCTCGAACTGGGATAACACACATTTCTGAACTGCCTAACATGTGTGCTGGGAACCAAACTTGGGTTCTTAGGGAGAGTAGGAAGCAGTCTTAATCAGCAGTCCATCTTTCCAGCCCTTCCATATAATTTTAAAAAAACCCTTTTATTCTATGTATATCAACGTTTTCTGCATATGTACCTGTGTTTCACATGCATGAAGTGCTTGGAGCAGACCAAAGAGGGCCTCAGGTCCCTGGGCCCCTGGGACTGGAGTTACAGATGGTTTTTTTGGTTGTGGTGAGGGGTTCGAGATAGGGTTTCTCTGTGACTTTGGAGCCTGACCTGGAACTAACTCTTGTAGACCAAGCTGGTCTCGAACTCACAAGAGATCTGCCTGCCTCTGCCTCCCGAGTGTTGGGATTAAAGGCGTGTGCCACCACCTCCCGGCTATCAGTATCTTAACTGCTAAGCTGTCTCTCCAATCCCATTCCTTCTTTTGTGGGGAAGGGGCAGTGTTGAGACAGATTGACATGTGCATACTCAGTATTCTCTTATCTAGTTGGAGCTCTAATGGTACCAGGAAACATTAGGAGGATCCAAGTGAATGCCTGACAGGAGAGAAATGGGAAAGCACATGTCAGGTTCCACCCCAGTGTTTCTAAAACTGTGTCTACTTGGTCTCTTCTTTTAAAATAATATTCTTTTCCTTACAGGTATTCTCTGGAAAGGATCAAATTAGTACCACACAGTGAAAGTGCGTAGAACTACTTGAAAGGGTAAGAGGCTGTTTTTGCTGGGTTTTTGTAAGAGAACCACCAGACTGCTATGAGCCACATCATGGAATGTCCTCTGTAAGAATGCCAAGGAATTTCCTGGGTTGATACATCTAACAGTAGAAGCATAGCATGCTCACAGTCCCCTGGCATTGTGCCCTCTGTTTTTCCCCTTTTCACCTCTGGGCACACATCAACAGTTTTTAGAGCAGTACACAGCAATGCTGATGTGTTGTAATAGTATTAGTTCATTTTTTTTCTCACCTGCTTGCATTTATTGCTGAATATTTTAAAAATTCTTTTAAGAGTTATTGATTCTTTGTGGATGTCATATCATGCATTTTGATACCACTCATCTGTCCCCTTGCATCTGCCCTGTAGGTCCTGCTTGCTGGGGTATCTGTCCCGCCTGGTTCCCCAGCCCTTTAGTCCCAGAGAAAGTCACACAGAGAATCTACATTAGGCTATAAACCGACTGGCCCATTAGCTCAGGCTTCTTATTAGCTCTTATCACTTATATTAACTCATTATCCTTATCTATGTTAACCACATGGCTTGGTACCTTTCTTAGCCATGCAGGTCACATCCTGCTTTTTTGGTGGTCTGGACAGGACTGGGGAGAAATGGAGTGTTCCAGGCTACTTTCAGCTGGTTGGGAGCACTGATAATCTTATGGGGACCTAAAGAAAATTTAAATTATGATCAAGTCCTGACTGAAGTATCCTGTGAGTCTTGATCATCTCAGGCAGCAGTCTTGAATCTGTTCTGCATGTAGAACTCAGACATCCGGGCCATCTGTTCTTACCACAGATTTTTCAGGTGGTCTTCTTTGATCAAACCTGACTTTTCTTAACTCAGAATGAATTCACAGTCTCTCATTTTCTGTGGGAACAATAGCAAAATCTCTTCTTCAAAGTAACATACCTTTTGACTTCAATTTTGAAGTCAAGGTATTTTTAAAATACCTCTTTTGGATTAATTTAGCAGAATTTATGAACAAGTATCTTTTAGCATCTATTGCTCCTTCCTTAGCATTTAAACAATTCAAAGAGAGCATAATAACATATAGTATCAAGATTTTGTTTTCAAAATTGTAGCCTCAGATTTGTATGAAAAGAAATTAAATCCATTTTGTTTAACCAGAAAAATGGGAAATGGTGTGTTGTCTGTGTGTTGCTTTCATTGGGTGATGAAAGAAACTGCCTTGGCCTTTTGATAGGGCAGTCTTAGGTAGGCAAAGTAGACAGAACTGAATGCTGGGAAGAAGGAGGCAGAAAGAGTCGCCATGAAGCTGCGAGATCAGACATGCTGAATCTTTCCTGGTAAGCCACGACCTCGTGGTGACGTACAGATTATTAGAAATGGGTTGAATCAAGATGTGAAAGTTAGTCAATAAGAGGCTAAAGGTTATTGGCCAAGCAGTAATTTAATTAATTCAATTTCTGTGTGGTTATTTTCAGGGTGTAGCTATCTAGGCAGCTGGGAGCCTGGCGACTGGAACCAAAAGCAGGCCTACTCCTCATACAA